ATCATTCCGTGTCATGAACAACTGAATGCTACCCATTATTACAGTGAATCAAAAATATCCATAGATAAGAGGCATTTTTTAAATACTTGGATGACACAAGTAAGCATATAAATATTATTTTAAGAAATCAGAGAGAGAAGCTAGCTGGGGCATTCTAGAAGCTGAGATCCATATACCTAAAAATTGTCAAGGTTGAGAAATATTGGTCTATAAGCATAAGCACAAGATCTCAGTGATGAGAAGTTACTGATATGAGAAGCTATTTTACTGAATTCATTAAGAATTGGCTTATTTTATCTGCCCAACAACAGTGTGAGATTTTACACTGCCAAAATAATGTTGTTTGGAGTATTATAAAATGCTGCCAATTAATTATTACATTCATCTGAGAATCAGTGTGGATCTAGCAATCCCCAAGGCTGAATAAAAATTTACATGCAGATCACCTTAGTGACAATCTATATCAATGATCCACTCTACTAGATCACTATTATCACAAGCAAAGAAAGCAGATTTCTACTGAGATATACAGCATTCAGTTTTTGCCTCACAATCTAATCTCCAATTACAATCACTGACCTTCTCATCTAACCACCCTCTCTTTTCATTCCATCTTACACTGAACTTTAGGGGACTTCTTCAGGGCAGGGTTTAGTTCTTTAGGGGAGTTGTTTTGCTCTTAAGGTCTCATAGACATTTGTACCTGGATTTTTAATTATTTCCCCCAACCCATGTTGAACTAGAAGACAAAGACCATTGCTTTTGGGCCGATATATATTTGAATTTATTTCATTAGCAATATATTCCCTCAATTTCAAGGGAAATCAGATAAAAGATTTTATCAAATGTCTGGTTTTAATTGACTGATCAATATCCCTGAAAGCCAAATGTCTGAGTCATCATTCATTGCTGCTTAATAATACAAATGAGCATTTCTCAATGCAGTCAGTCATACAGAGCAATTGACATCTGTTCACAAGTGCCACTTTTGACACCTCCCTGACACGGTTCATTCTACATGACTGGCCTGCCTTGTGCGCTCCATTAACCTGGGTGGGCAAGGTATCAATTACAGGCTTTTTGTATAATTTTAAAGGGATTACACTACAGATATACTTTGACAGACATAAATAGCAGCTAGAGGAAAATCAAGGTTACAGCCAAACTAAATGGAGTGGTGAGCCCTCCTTGACTTGTATGGGTAAAGTGCAGCATTGTAGCATCTGCTTGTTTGTTACTAGCACCTCTTGATCTACCAGCTGGAACCAACTGCAAGATAGCACCTCAGTGTGATGGATGTGCACTTATATTAAGAAACAGACCTTTTCTGGATCTATGCTTAGCTCAGAAAGTTCTTTTGGTTACTGAAATAGAACCAATAATCCTTCCGCGTTAAAAAAAATCATGCCTGGTTCAAAGAACTTATTAGGAAGAAAATGTTTATAGGTTGTGTTTGTTGTTGATGGTGTCAAAAACCATGCTGATGTAGTCTAGATCATTCTCAGATCAGTGATCAGACCTAGATTTTCTTTTTGGCCATGTGTGCTTGGCAATCTTGCCACATTTTGGGTAAGCATCTAGTCTCTTGCCTATACTCGAGCATGAGGAAGACCTATTCTAGCTTCTTTTAGCTGAAGCAACAAAATAATCTATTTTCTTCTTTAGTGCTGTTTTCGTTATGTTGACGAGCATCAGTCTATTTTGACATTAGGTGGAGATCCCAAGAAATAACAAAGGAAAAAAAAAAAAGAAAGAAACTGCATCTGCTGTCACTAAAATGATTGTTTGCCCTGCTACCATCATTCTCATGTAGGCAAAAGATGATAGAAGTTGTATTCTAGAACTAGAACAACTGTAAGATAACAGGTTGGGCAAAGGTTTGTTATAGCATAAAATAGGATCCTCTTGTTAGGCAGAAAACAATACAAAAAGGCTCCTGTTTAATGGTGCACATCTTTATTTCTGTAGCTTTTAATTTTTCTTAAATATAATTTTCTCTAATCCATTCAGGACTTTAAGATCCAAATTACACCATCTTAAAACAGGTGGCCTTCATTACCACTGATGAATCTCAATGAAGTTTTGAGCAGTTGGTGTTGCTGTGGTTAGTGAGAAAATAAATACAGCACTTATAATTTTACAGTTTATTTCCTTTTCTACGGGATGAGAATTGTCTGTAGGCAAAGGAAATGAGTCCACTCTGTGAATATGATTTCCCTGTAACATTTAAGTACTTCAAATTGGCACATTGTATTACCAAAAATGGCCACAGGTGTAGATTTGAGGTTTATGCTGGCCAAGGTAGTTCTGGAAGGACCATAATTTTCTGCCTTAACATGTGTTTTGCTTCTTCAGGAATCCTGGTATTTTGGCATTAAGCTTCTCAACTTAGAAGACTGGAAAAGACTCTTGTCTATGCTGTATCTGCCATTCAAAGCAGATACCACTTGGCCAGCTGAAGTTGATATCTGCAAGCATTCACACCAGATAAGAATTCTGTCATGTGTATGTTTGTGTGTATGTGTGGAATACTTATAATTACCTAGGGTCACTTAATTAATTAAATCCACAAGATAATGTGTAGGAAACATTTCTCTTTGTTTTATAGTAAAGGTTCAAGTTCTACTCTTCACAATTACAGGGGCAAAAAGAAAAATGACATACAAAGCTCAAGGGTAGACTTTTGGTTCCATGTCTTTTAGAAGCATCACATCCAACGGACAGCAACTAATCAAGGTCACTTTACAAAAGGCATTTTGCTAGTCCTGCTTTCTTAGATCCTTTCTTAGGCCATTCTGCATGCAAAGTAGGTACTTTGCCATTCGATGTTTATTAGCAAGTGAACAATTTGGAGCAGTGCTGGATATTTTCCAGGAACATGAAGTTCAAGCATGTATTCATGTGCAATCATCAGATTCACTACTTGTTACTTGCTCTACCATTCTTATCTGCCACTTCACTTCCTGAAGCCCTTCAGTAAAACAAAGAGCTTTCCTTGAATTAGCCAGCAGGGAGAGATTACTCAGGAGCAATTCTGAGACCACAGCCTCCCATTCACCCCAAGAGGTGACAAGACCTCTGAAGAATTGCCCACCAGAGCCTTGGAAAATTACTCAAAAGCTCTCTGGAAACTCAGTAGTTCTATTAGATGCCTAGGAGAGATTGGTTGCATATATAATAATAACAATAACAATAATAACAACAACAACAAAAACAACAACAAAAACACAAAACAAAACAACAATAATAATAATATTGGAAGGGACCTTGGAAGTCATCTAGTCCAACCTGCTCAGGCAGGAAACCCTACACCATTTCAGATGTCCAGTCTCTTCTTAAAAACTTCCAGTGGGAGCATTCACAGCTTCTGGAGGCAGGTTGTTCCACTGATTAATTGTTCTAACTGTCAGGAAATTTCTTCTTTGTTCTAGATTGCTTCTCTTCTTGGTTATTTTCCATCCATTTCTTCTTGTCCTACCTTCAGGTATTTTGGAGAATAGCTTGACTCCCTCTTCTTTGTGGCAGCCCCTGAAATATTGGAACACTGCTATCATGGCACCCCTCATCCTTCTCTTCATTAGACTACTAGACATTCCCAATTCCAGCAACTGTACCTTATATTTTAGCCTCCAGTCCCCTAATCATCTTTGTTGTTCTTCTCTGTACTCTGTACACCATTTCAGATGTCTTCTCCCTATGCAAGTTGGTGACCTTGTTTGCTTCTAAAGCAATCAGATGGTGATCTGACTATGATAAGAGATACATGTTAATGTTTCATCCACTCAGATCACATTGCATCTGCCTGGTGACAAAAACCAGATCAAGTGTTTAGCCTTCTACAAGTCAGATTCTTAATATGTGTAAAAGTGACCTTGGGGAATATGTGAGGGAGTCATTAAAGGAGAGTGGGGAGGAACAAGCAATTATTAATAGACTGGACCATGCACAGTTAGAAAGAAGCATGAGAAACTCAAAATAACCTCATCTTGATTTTATTTACTAAGGTAGGGCAAACCTGGATATGCTTTCAAAACTCTATTATATCCCGAGACAATAAAATAGCATTCCTGGGATCTCTGTCTGAAGTGCTAACATGAGCTTAAGAACAGAAGAGGATTGAATTTATACTGCTGAACAGTTCAAGCCAGGTTTAGTTTAAGTAGATAGCTTTGTTGAAATTTAACCATTGTTTTAGCATTGTCTTAGCATGTTGTATGAACAAGTCCCTCCTCTTAAGCCATGATTTACATAAGATCTTAAGTGAATACATAATTAAGAAATTTGACATGTATCATATTGTGTGAATCTAGGACAAAAAGGCTCCTTGACTATTTATTTGTTATGAATGTGTGTGTATCTGTATTTCTATCCTACAGTTTTGAACTGTACAACAATAAAAACAAGACAGAATAGTCTACAAAGTAGGTGCCAAAACAGAGATGACTTATTTTCTATTCCATACACCCATAAGATCACATCATGATGGTTTCTTGAGCAGATCCTCTATGGAGGTCCTCACAGAACAGATATGTTCACTATTGGTATTCAGGGGTGTCAAACTGCCGGCCCGCAGGCCGGATGCGTCATGAGGAAGCCACGCCCACCCCATTGCCAGCAATGGTAAAACAGTCCCGATACGTTGCGCAATATCATGTGATGTCATGGGTTTGACATGTCTGGATTAAATAGTACCTTAGTGTATTTAGTTGAGCGGATGTTGTAACATCTACTTTCCATGTGAGCTCTCCAAGGTCCTGCAGAATCTGCAGCTCCTTGGCTTATGCTCTGCAGCTTGACGCTGGACAGCCCTGATTCAAAGTTGTCTTCTCTAGACAGGGCTTAGGTCTTGTTGGCTCCACATCAACCAGAAGACATGTTGTCTCATACATACATACATCTCTACATCCACAGATGTAACAAATAAAATCCCTGCACTTCATTTGACAACCCCCTCATTTGTCTTATTTGACAGCATCATATTTATTGCTTTCTATACTTACTTGTTTTTGCCGCCTGCCTCAGGCTGTTCTATACTGTTTCATCCTCCCCCTTGAAAGGCTTCTGGCACTGTTCTCTGTTAACAGTCCAACCAGGCATCCTCATAATTACTCAAGAATTTAAGGATGCCAAGTTCTGACAGCCTTCTTCTTCTAAAGATGTCCTTGGCTCATGGAAATTATGTGGAACTTTTCACTGCACTCCATCTAAAGGAACTGCTGCAGTAGCTATTACTGCTACTGACAAAGTCTCTTGGTATTTGGGAGGGAGGGGGAGATGAGTAAAGGGTGAAATGTTTATACTGAGAAATAGTCTTTTAGACTCAACACCTTCTCCATATCAGAACATTTGCGCCAGCATCACCCACTCCCAAATACACACCTCTTGCTTGCTGTTTCACACTCAGAACAAAGACCAAAAATAGCCTGGAGGAACGCAGGAATCTGCAAGCAATCAAGCCCCACAGATTCCTGCCCCACCAACTGCTCAGAAGCAGACCCTGTAGCTTATTGATTCTACTGTGATTTTCCCACCAACTGCTCAGAAGCAGACCCTGTAGCTTATTGATTCTACTGTGATTTTCCACCCCTTTCTTCATTTTCTGGCTCAATGACTTGTTTGCATTTGCATGGACTCCTCTGGCTTAACCTGGAAAACCACTTGGCATCTGCTTAATTAATTCAACAAGGAGGCTTTCACTGGAACCAAGTACCTTTTCTTGGCAATATTTCTTCTCTTTTGCTGACAAAAGCGTTAAGAGTCTCCTTTGCTCAAGGTTGTAGAAAAGAATAAACAGAAAGGGTGTCCATCTCAATTCCCCCCTCCCATTCAATACAAAGTGAAAAAACCTTTGGTGCATGGTGATGGAAAAGTTATTTCCAGCAAATCCTCTGGGCCAGCCATTTCAGAATGATGGAAATTATATACAAACACAGGTGAAGAATGCCAGTTTGGGAATTATTGTCTTGTTGTCAGTTGTAGAGGTAATGGTTTTTGGTGGTTTCAGCTTATACATAAACATGAACATCAAGCTCCTTCAGTCCCACCGAGGCTGCACACAGGGAGAGGTGAGCTTCCCTGTTCATTTCCAGGAAAACACATCCCTTTTCAAGCTATATCTTCCATGGAATTTTAAGAATACCCATTCACATTCTTAGAGAGTGTTCAAACAGCTGAGGCCAAGAATCCTTGTAAACAAAGTAATAAGTTAAGTTCTTATTATAATTATTATCTTAGTACAAATCCCTACATGCAAAGGGGAAGCTGAGAAACCCACTTAAGAAAATCAAGCAACTTTATGTCTGTGTTAGATTTGAAATCAAAGAGTTGTAGGCCTGTAGTGAAAGGCTGAATTGTATTCATATTCTTCTTTGGTGTGGCCAATAATAAATGTTCTATTAAAAGCTTACCTGTAGCTATAGAAGAAGATACAATCAAAACCGGAAAAAATGAATAAGAAACATTAAGGAGGGCTCTACTTAAGCCACCTGCTCCTCTTGCAGTTATGAAAATTAAAAACTCTTAAATAGGAATGCAAATAGGATCAAGAAGTCAAATGGAAGGGACTCTGAAGCTAAACTGAGGCCCTAGACTCTTTATAATGATGGAAATACAATAAACCACTCTCTACTGAACTAAGGTTGCAGAATCCCTGTTGGTCTTCAGACCATACCAGGCTTTGAATGAAGTATTAAGGATCATATCCACAAACTGAGCAGCCAGTCCATGGGAAGAGTGGAATTTATCTTTGGCTCTACATCATGGGAGGGTGCTTTGTGGGCTTCAAAAGGGATTCTGGCAAACAACATATTCTGCCAAACTCTTTACATTTCTAGTCTAGCTCATTCCTGTTTTAACCAGTAGTGAATCCCGTATTTATCTTTTTAATCTGTTCTGAAATGTCAGGGACTGAACCAGTGACCTTATATAGGTAAAACTCATTTATCAAACAACCTGGAATAGAGATAACTGCTTTACCTAAATACAACTAAGGTTACTCCTGGATAAATTAAGATTGAATAAGATTGTATATTTAACTAAGAATAAGATTTACCCTCAAGTATTAATGTGATTTCAAATTAGATTTTCTCTCTCTTCTACAGCTTTTAAATTTATACTAGCCCCTACTAATGCCCGTAAAAATTAGGTTACCATATTTGCACTGCAAACATTCCTCTGATCTCTAAATGGTAGGAAAAAGATAGAGGATATTTAAATTCTTTGCTGTCACCTAATGGCCCCCTATATAAACCCTTTATATAAATGCTTTGAAGATATGCTTGTTCAACTACAGAGAGTCCTCAACTTACGACCACAACTGAGCATAGAAAACAATCATAAGCCACTTTTTAAAGTGATGTTGCAGCTTTGAACGGTCAGTAAATAAACTGTTGTAACTTGTGGACTACCTGTACCACTATTCCCAGCTGGGTGGGTCATAATGGTTTTTCTTTTTTCAGCAGTTTTACTTCTGTGATCCTTTTAGATAGGTAAGCCAGACATTGAACCTGGACTTGTACATGCAAGGCGGTGCTCCATCACGGGGCCATCACCCGTCTCATCTTTTTGCTTGCTGCAAGGAGACATTCTCGCCTTCATAATTATGTCCATTACATCTATCTGCACTGCAGACGCCTGCAATTATGGTGTCAGCTTGAGGGATTGCGTTTGTAATCCTGAGAGTGCACTGCCTCACTCCCTCCTCTGAGATGAATTGTCTCTTTAGTCACAATAAATTCTATTCTCACTAGTCATATACAACTTCAGGTGGTAGAGTGATGAGACTGTGAACTCAGATGAAGCTCTGGTAAATAAGGTTTAATGGTCTATTTGCTGCAACAAGAGGCATTTTGCCAGCTTGGTAAATGTATCTGTTAACTTAGAAGTGCTGCTGCTGTATTAATATACAAATAGAATGTGCAGCAAAACATGGTAGTACAATGCAGTGTTCTTATTTAAGATAACAGCCATTCGTTTTATAATGCTCTGTCTCTCCTCCACTAGTTTTCTCTTTCCATGCCAGTGAGTGTCATGAAAGGATGAGTGAGTGTGTATGAAGGATAGTGAGTATGGAGGATGGCCTTGAAGGACAGAAGGAAGATTACTAAGACAATGATCGTGTAAATGAGGCCTGAGTCTGGACCAAAAATCTAATTTATGAAAATGCCTCAGCTATCCCACCCCAAAATTCACAGAAAGGTAAAAGAGAAAGAGAAGCACTTTAGAGTTGCAAGATTCTGTTACAATGGCTGTTCTAATAAAAGTAGCTTTAGGTCTGCATGGTGTCTGTTTCTTAGTCTGGTTTACCATATAGGGTCAACAGCCAGTCACTATATAATGTGCATTGAGCAATCCTTATTGTGTTACTTTTGCATCCTCAGAAAACATGTTAAATCAACTTAAGAATGTTTTGTGAAGCCAACCAGTATTGATGGATATGTGACAGTTCTGGTTGTGACTTCCCAGAAATTGTTTTTTAAAAAAAGGCTGCCAAAATTATCATAAGACAAGTATTGCTTGTTTATGAAGAAAGGTGGCTAGAAAGGCAATAGAGAACACAAAAGAACAGATCAGAATAACAGAACTGGAAGGGACCTTAGAGTCTTCTAGTCCAAACCTCTGCTGAAGCAGGAAACTCTATACCAGACATGCCAAACACAAGGCCTGGGGGCTGGATGCGGCCCACGAAGTGGTTTCATGTGGCCCGGGAAGCCATCTTGGAAACAGTGAAGGAATGGCCCCCGCTGCCTTGGCCCTGGCCCAGGCCGGCCAGGAGCCAATGTACAATTTTGTGGTGGCCATCTATGCTGAAATGCATTCAGTCTTAGCTCCACAAGGCCATCTAGAAACAGCAAGGAACCAGCCCCTGCCGCGTCGGTCCTACTCCCTGGGTGCATGCTGGGGAGGTGTCACCCTTTGTGAGGAATGAAGAAATGCACCATCACCTGGAAGTGGCCAGCAAATGGCCCTTGCCTACTTCACATATCCAGCTTGATGGGCTCTGCCCTAGTCCCACCCCTTTCTGCCAGAGATCCTCAGATCTGTCCCACTCCTTCCCAAGCCCCCACAGGCACCCTTGACGCGAATGATGTAGAGCTAGCCACTCCCACTCCATCCACGCCCACCCAGTAGGCTGCACCCACCCTGGCCACACACCCCCACCCCCCAAGAGCAAACGCAATGCTGATGCGGCCCTCAATGAAATTGAGTTTGACACCCCTGTTCTATACCATTTCAGACAAATGATTGTCCAATTTCTTCTTAAAAACCTCCAGTAATGAAATACCCCAAACTCCTGGAGACAAGTTGTTCCACTGATTAATTGTCCTCACAATCAGGAAATTTCTTAATTAATTTCAACCATTGCTTATTGTTCTGCCCTTAGATGCTTTTAAGAATAAGTTGACCCCCTCGTTTTCTTGACAGCCCCTCAGATATTGGAGGTGGAAGAGTATAGCAATTCATAAAATGAAGAGCAGTGTGGTTGCTCTTCCACTCACAAAACTGTACTATAAGGCTTCTGACCAATTGATTGAAAATAGATTCAGAATAAGCTAAGCAAAGTTTTTCACAAAAATGAACTATTGCTTATATCTTCAGGCTGCTTGGTAGGTTTTAAGAGGATTAGGTAATATTCTGATTGTTAATTATGATGGCTTATGGCTTCATGATTGTAATGAAGTTTGATTGCATATTTTGTTTTTCTACCCCATCACTAAACTCTTGATGAATTCCCTGGTGAAGTTGCTGTCTATAATCCTCCCTGCCCCATTCTTTTCACATCCCCACTTTTGGAATAAACCACAGAGGCTGCACAAGATGATACTGAGAGACCCATTTTTATGGGGAGAAAGTGGGCAGAATTTGATGGCAAATGAGAAATCACTTCTTTCTGGGGATAAAAATTCTGCAGCAGATTATTTGCAAAAACTAGAGTGGACAGTATAATCTTTTAATCTGAATCAACACCAATTTTTCTAATTAAATAAATCCTTGTGAATGTTATAATTTTTTTCTAGAGAAGAGGAAGATGGAAATATTTTTGTTTATTTAAATTACTATGATTAGGCTGAATTTGGAATGATTCACTTGGAATCATTCCAAAATCTTATTGTAAAATTTTCAATATTCCAATTTTATCTGGATCCTATAACATTCTAAGATCAAAATCTTATTTAGCTTTTTGCTGCTTATTTTAATATTCTTTAAATTCTTGAGTCTATGATTAACATGTTCTTTTGTTCAAGACTGAAGGCTCATCCATCATTTTCAAACTTGATATTCCAAAGGTTTCTAATAACTTAGAAGTAGTTAATGAGCAATTACTGAAAGTGAGCATAAAAGTAAGATTTCTAAACTTTAAAAGGCTGTGCTACAGATGCCAACAAGATGGCTAATTTTGTTATCTCCTGGCCCTCAAACCTACAGAAAATCACTGTCCCATATTCTACTGAGGAGCAACCATTCAGGGCACATGTGGATAATCTCCAGAGAGGTTTCAAGGAACTGGTCTATTAATTGGTTCCTTAATCTTTGCTACATTCACTGGCTCAGCTTTTGAAGAGTTGTCTTCAGTTCTTTCCCAGAAGTCACATCTGCCCTGATCATCCAATCGGGTTCCCTCATCCCTCCTCAACTTTCCTGCTACATCCCAATGCATTAGATCTTGTCTGAAAATCCCAATATTTTTTTATATTGACAATTTTGTTAAGCACTTCACATCCTTTCTGCCACTTGGAATTTCTTTATATCCCCAGCAGGAGGATACTCCCAAGTTGAGTATCCCTAGTGTAGACAACTTCCTATAATTGCTGCAACACTATTTCCTTATATTTGATTTTCTCTCTAATGAGCTCTTTGCTCATCACTGGCATAATCTTAAATGCAACTTTTTATCAGCTCTTTGAGCAACCACCTCATTGGTTGTCTAAAAACAATGCTTATTTCTTGGATGAAAATATTTCTGGATGAAAATACTTGATGTGTGTTAAATACTGAATACAGAGTTAAAATATTATGGGATATTTCATGAAGTGAAATATTTCAGGAATTCCGATCCATTGATTTGCATTTGTAGGCCAGGTGCAAACATCTCAACTGGTACATGAATATGATGCTGTATACTAATGGCACATTCTCTCCAATGACTGACACTTACTTAAGACAGGGTCATGCTTTTCAGATGAAATTGCCTTTGGAAAAATTTTACAGAAGAGGGCATTTTTATTAAGCAGCCACACTGACAAGTGTGAGATGAAATTCTATGTATGTGGAGAAATGAAAGAGGGC